CCCCACTGCCGCAGCAGTGCCCGCTCCTGCAGGAGCTCTTCCATGTTTCCCCTCCACCGCAGCAGCTTTTTCATATTTCCCCACTGCTGCAGCAGTTCCCGCTCCCGCAGGAGCTCTTCCATATTTCCCCACTGCTGCAGCAGTTCCCCCTCCCGCTGGAGCCTTTGTCTGTATTTTACTCTGCCGTAGCAGTGCTTGCTTCTGCAGAAGCCATTTTCTCTTTTCAGATGCCGTAGCAGTTCCCACTCCCACAGGGGTTTTTCTTTTTCAGATGCCGCAGCAGCGCCCGCTTCCGCAGAAGCCATGTTTCTTTTCAGATGCCGTAGCAGTTCCCACTCCCACAGGAGTTTTCTTTTTCAGATGCCGCAGCAGCGCCCGCTTCCGCAGAAGCCTCTAGTTCTCTCTCCTAAGCCTCAGCAGTGCCGCTACTACAAGCGATGTCCAGCACCCCACCAATTTTAAGTTCTGCAAATTTGGGGGGTTATCAATGCTCCTCTCTGGCTGCTGTCCCGTACTAATTGCATCTTTGGGGGAGCGCTTCGGGTCCGGGCTTAATCCCGAGCTCGGACCCCTCTCCCCGGACAGGGGGAGTACCCCGGGCTCGAGAGTAATTACCGAGCTCGGAGCCCTCTCCCCGGACAGCACGCCAAATACGCATAAACTTTACTCGGTTCATTATAAGTAAGTGTGAACTCGTGAAGTGATGTTTCATTAACAAGTTTCGGGAGGAGCACGCGCAGATAATTAACACGGCCAGTTCATCATCAGTAATTACACCATCTATCCAATCAGCACAAGAGAGAACCTCTATAAATAATCAAAGCAGCCTTACCTCCATTATCTCTAGTCCTTCAGCATCCCTCCACCACCCCGACTCATCACCTTCTGCCCGTTCCTATCCCAGCACGGGGAGGAACACTCGGGGGGGGAGCGCTTCGGGTCCGGGCTTAGACCCGAGCTCGGACCCCTCTCCCCGGACAGGGGGAGTACCCCGGGCTCGAGAGTAATGACCGAGCTCGGAGCCCTCTCCCCGGACAGCACGCCAAATACGCATAACCTTTACTCTGTTCATTATATGTAAGTGTGAACTCGTGAAATCACCATTGGTAGCGAGATTTATTGCAATGCTTTTTTCCTCAGTTGGTCAGAACAAACCTGGCAGACTTGTTACTTGCTTGTTCAGATGACAATATACGGTGAAAAACATTTCTTTGGGTCATATATTCCAAGACATAATCTGTGATTGCGAAAGTACAGTAAACATGCGGTGACTGACTGCCACACATTCACCCTTAAAACATTAGATTCACCCGCGCTGGAGCCATGCTGGAGCACAAACCACGCAAGGAAGATAATTCCGCACACAGCTGTAATTGCAGGTTTTCAAACAGAGATGGCGACAAAGAGGTAAAACTTACGGACTGCAGCTTTTAGTAAATATTGTATAAAATAATGTTATTTCTATTTTTTTGCTGTGTAGTGTGTCAGTAGGAAATATCAGAGTTTTTTTTTCAGACATTCCTTTTGCCATTTATTGTAATAATACAGTGAGGTTTTTTGTTTGCCGGCGCCTCACGCACACACACTGTTCATATTTATGATCAATTTCCCTCCCCTCCCCTCCCCAGAGGCACCTCACCTGTGTACTGTAAACCTGATCCTCAGAAACAACATCTGATCTCAGTGCTGCAGTGCAGGAGATGCCCTATTTTCAGCTCAACACAAGGTAATCACACTGTTTCTTTGTAAAAAGCTTTTGTTTGTATTATAGTGAAACTAAACTTCAACTAAATTGTATCTCCATTTTCTTTTTCAACAAATAATGAAAAATATTTAAGAGAATTTCATTCATGGCAGAAGATCTGTGCAGCATCACAAACTGCAGAAGAATTAAACAGAGAGAAAAATGGCAAAAAGGATGAGAGAATCTAATGAACCAGGAGGAAAAAAGACACTGAGACGAGTCAGACAGAACAGTATTAATAGCGGAAAACCAAATTGTGAGTATTTATGATATTAACTATAAAACATTATAAAAAAATTTTCATCAATACATAAAGCAGCTTTATCTTCTCTGGTGTCTGAATGTAAAATCAACCCCAAAACTTTACTATTTATCTACTAAATAAAAACTATGAAGATAATCAGATGTTTGTGTTTTTAATGTCTAGTTTCTGATGATCCTGACAGTTTTATTCTGAATGACTCTCAGACGAGGTGAGATCACATACACATAAATACTCTGACAGTGTGTGTATGTACTGTATTATACTGTCAGTTACTGTATGTGTGTTATAGTTCTGAGAGTGTGTTTTCTTTTCAGACAGGAGCAGCTCCTTTCACCGGACCAGCAGAATATTCTTTATATTCAGTCACTGATCAAATACTGTATATTTTACATTGTTTGTATTTTAGTGTTATTATATGCTCAAAATATTATAGACCTACTGAACATAATCAACCAATATCAACACAACAGTTTTTATTGTACATAATACAAACAATAATTATTTCTGTACGTTTCTAAAACTATTACAACATTTCATAGTGACAAAAATATGTACATGTATGATTATAAAATATGTTGTCACGACTTTAGTCTTGTGTTTTATAACTCTTGGTTTTTTTTATGTGTTTTTGTGCTCCTCCTGTGTTCTGTAGTTGCATTCATGCCATGTTGGCATTACTGTACTTTTGAGGTTTCAACATGTAAAAAGTGTTCATGTCCTCATTGAACTGGTAATTACAGCTTGTAAGATGAGACTTTTCTGAGAGCTCCTGCTTGTGCCACCTGATACTGCAGATTCATTTAGGCGTTGATAGTGGTGCTATAGAAACATAATTCCCAGTCCGAGGACGCAAACAGCTCCAAATAGAAAGTGAGGTGTTGTCATCTGGAGCCTATAGTAATTATGACATGGCATGAAAGCCTGCCTTGTTACCATAGTTCCCATCATTAGTTCCTGAAGGGATGGAGCTAATGAATTGTCATGGGAACTAATGAAGGTAACTATTGTACTATAACTAACAAGGGAGTTATAGGCAAACAGAACACAAAACACAGGAGGAGCACAGCAACACATTACAAAACAAGAGTCCTAAAACACAAGAAGGGGTTTGTGACATTTATAAATAATATAACTGCAATAAATCTGTAAACTCCATACTTCTTAGAAAAATAAAAACAATGTTTTAATTTTGTTATATTGTCTCTTTTAATGGTCAAACACGAGTGAGGGAGAGACGTGTTTAAATTGATTAATTAATCACTGATCAGAAGATCAGATCAGAACTTGTCTTGAAAAGTGTCATTTGATTCTTTGATTCATCACTGATAAGCACAGGTTTGTTTTAACATGTCTAGCAGGGATTTGGGAAAACTGAGTGGGATGAGTCACTGAGGATTCATGCAGTAAAGTCCAGGGTTTATCTCTAACTGTAACATGACCTTAAAGAAAGTCCCTAAGAACAGAAGCCAGATTGAAACTGGGTCACAGAATGATATTCTATCTGAGCAGGAGCGACATGTAACAGTATCTCTCTCCACAGAAGATCATCAGCATTACCGTAGATTAACACCTGAGAGACGATCACATCTTTAAATTTTTAAGTAGCCTATATCTGATAAACAACAAAGTGAACACAGAAACCTGAAAAGCTGTTTGAAAACACGTAAATATTATTTAATTACTTTCTTCTCCATGGAAAGCAGGACTGCTTTGTATACAAAAATAAGTGCTAAATTTCTGCTGTTCCATAAGCGCCACCTACTGTCAGACAGTGAGAGACTTTTATTTGTGAAACTAGCATCTGCTCTAAGAAAGAAATTCATATCACACAGCAAAACAAGATCAAACTGACAGTGAAATTAATTTTGTTCTCAAGGGCCAATCAGTAGTCAGTCAGAAAGAGCACTAAACTACGCCATCTAGAGGACAGAGTGAGCTACTGCAGACCTCGAACATAATTATACAAACATCTATCTGCATATTCGCATCAGGAACACTGTTATTATGAATGTTCATATCATATGAATCGCCCTCTCCTGTGCTCAATTCAGATGTGTGGATCAGAGAACTCAAGACTGAATCTGAATCTATCAAATCATATTTATTCGTGTAAATCACTTTTAAAAAGATGGACAGGTTGATTAAATAAAATTGTTTAAGACATGCTGCTCAATGACTGAAAATGTCTGCTTATTTTTATTTATTTTTTAAGAAAATTTAGTATGTGAAATATCATGCAAGTATGAGTATTTCTACTGAATATCTGTAATACATAAATCAACACAGTAACAAAGAAATATAATAAATGAAAAAAACGTATAAAGCTTACAATATTTTTAAAGCCTACAATATACAATATTTTTAAGACATGACTGCTTTTAATACAGTGATCATCAGAATCACAGCAGATATTTTTTTGGTCACATCTGTGAGCTTTACCTGCACAAATCCAGCAGACACTAAAATTAAAGTATATCTACAGCTCAAATTGCTAGATCATGTGATAGTAACACAGAGGGCTTGATTCCTGGGGAACATATGTATACTGATAATTGACTATATGTCACTTTGAATGAAATTATCCACAAATGTAAGTCACAGCAGATGTGAGCTGCATATATGTGCACGTGTCTGTGCATAAATCATTATAACAGTTTGAACATTTCTAAAAATATGTATCAGGTGTTTCATAGGAAACAACAGATGTGTATTTTCACACAGTTAAACATTTCCTAACCACATCCCAGATTACAGGGCCACCGCAAAATAATAAAATGCTTTTTTTAAAAGGACATGACACTTTAGAAATTCACACATTGGTCACACACACAAAAAGTCACACATAAACTACAAAAGACTAATGCAAAACAGTGAATTCATTGAGAGGTGTGTCAGAGACTTTATTTAGGCAAGAAGCCTGAAACACTTAAGAATGACAAACTGAAGTGTCAGAAAATACACAAAGACTGATTCTTTAAAGGTTCTACAGGTTTAGAGTGAATTTTTTTTTACTTTTTAGTGTCAATTAAATCTCACTTTACCAGTAGAAAAAGCTGCCTAACAATTATGCACAGCAGAATGATTATGTACAGTCCTGATAGCAATTATTAAGAATTAGCAAAATATGTTTGGAAAAATCAATGGATCAACGAGTGAGTGAGAACAGGCGTGGCATCACAAACCACTAGCAGGAATGTAAATCAGAACAATGTCACTTCTACAGGCTTCAGACAGACTGCACAACAAGGTGATTAAAACACTTTTATACTGGACATTGATTTTTGTTTTATAATGTGACTGAAATGTAAATCTGCACTGCTCAACAATCATTAATTAAACTTGAACTCTAAATAATATCTCTACTTTTGGCAATATATAAAGCAGGAACAGAATTAAAGTTAACAGGGTTAAAATTATTTAATTTCGGAACATCTGTGGAGAATCAAAATCTACAGGATGCCAAACAAAGAGGACGAGATACAATCTAATAAACCAAGAAAGAAAAAGACACTGAGACGGGTCAGACGGAACAGCATTAATAGCGGAACTCCAAACTGTGAGTATTTATGATTAAACACTGCTGTTGTTTATCTTCTCTGGTGTCTGAATGTGTCAAATCAATCCTGAACTGTCATTTCATCTGCTATATAAACTGTATATGAAGATAATCAGACACTGTTTTCTTTTTTTCACGGTTTGTATTTTTTATTTTTCTTTAGTTTTTCACAATGCAGACAGACTGGCAGAGATTCATTCTGATCTTCAGGTCAACTCAAGTCCAGTCACGTTTATCTCTATACTGCTTTATACTGTACAATGCAGACTGTTTTATAACAGCTTTACTGTGATAAACAATAAAATAATGAATCAATGATGCAAATTCTACTGTACAGCAACTCTAAAAGAAAAAACAACAACAGCAGTGTCATTGTTCAGATGAGGTTCAGTTTGGTAACTGTGTAAAAAATGATCAAATATTAAAGTAGTTCAATTCAGCTGTAAAGCAGCTCTGGTGAAAACAATGTCATTATCAGCTCAGGTCAGTTGGAGACATATTTCACATCATATACAGAGAAAAATACTATGAAGAACTAATGCAGTAACTTGTAATATAATAATGAAATTAATTTGGAATTAAATGATTTTTTTTAGATTGAATTTCACTGTAATGAATATGTACTATAATAGTGGCTGATACTAGTTATTTGTTTTACTTAAATTGTGTTTAATGTCATGTTGTATATTGTGTTTATATGACTGAAGTTCAGTTTGTAAAAAAACAAACAAACAAACAAAAAAACAACATCATGAAATGTAAATCAGAGAGGCATGCAGTAAAAAAAGCACAATGCAATGTTTTGCATTACTCAGAGCTTTAGCCAGAGCACCACATCCCTGGTATGGATTAACATCATTTGTATATGCAAAGCCTTTGTATATTTTATGCAAAGTTGCGGAGATGACCCTTTCTCATTAACACTGCTGATAGTGTAAGGTACTGTAAAAAAAAAAAAAAAAAATGAAATGAAATAAAAGCACCTTAAACCTTGTCTGAGAATGCGAGCTACATTTAGTGAAGATTAATGTCAGAACAACATCATGCCAACACTGACGGTACCAGCAGATCAAGGTCAAAATCAGATCCAAATCAAGTGCTGCATATTCAAACACATGAACCAAAAGCTGATGATGCCTCATTTGATTCATGCAAATGAAAATCACTTTCGGTTCATCTCTCATGACCACAGATTTGTTTTAACATGCTTTTATAATATACAAGACTTGTTGTTCTGAAAAGCTATTGCTGGGTAGAGTCACTTGGGGAATCAATTTTCTGCTTAGAAAAAAAATTATAATAAAAAATAATAATAAAACATTTTTTTAACTGTCTTCATGCACATTTGTTGTCATCACAGTAATGTCCAGGATGTCTCTCTAGCCCTAAATCTTGCAAGTATCTCACAGAAATTCACTAAAATGCTGCAAAAGAAATGCTGGGTCACAAAATGATTTCACGCTGTGAGAAAAGCTGCAACACTATGACAATACAATAAGACAAGTGGGATGAGATGTAGAGAGACAGACACATCAGGTGTAGGTGGGCCTACACAGAACAGGGTGGGCAATGTGTACTGGTTGAAAACTGCATGTCAAATTACCAACAGAAAATACAACGCAGCACTAAGATTCAAAACAACCCAAAAACAACTTGGACAAACAAAACATAAAATGCATATTTTGTCAATATAATATATGTAACATATTAATGACAATATAAATATTAAATTAACTACTGTTTACTTTTTTTTTTTTGTAACTAGAAACACTAAAAAAATGTCCATAGTTGCTTTTACATGTCCCCTTTATTACTCTGGTTTACACTTTACAATAAGCTTCCTTTTGTTAACATTACTTAACATGAACAAACAATACTTTTAAAGCATCGATTAACGTTAATGTTAAAGTTTCTGTTACATTAGTATCTGTTAATATTAGTACCTCAGCTAACGCAAAATAACAATGAACATTTGTATTTTTTTATTAACCAACGTTAACAGAGATTAATAAATATTGTAACAAATGTACTGCTAATTGTTAATGTTAGTTAATGCATTAACTAATGCTAAATAAAGCAAGTTTATTGTAAAGCATCACTGTAAAAAAATTCCGTAAAATTTACGGTAAAAACCGGCAGCTATGGTTGCCGGAATTTTACCGGAAAAAATACAGTAGCACCGTTTTAGGTTTTACGGTTTTAACTTAAATTTACAGTTAAATACCGTATTTTCATTAACTGATATAATGTTAATATACCAACCTATTGAAGTACTGAAATCTGTTTTGTATCTTTGTAATACACTGACAACAAAGATTTGGGTCAAACACACAGATGATCATAATGAAGTGCTTCTGTCAGTTTGTGTTCAAAGGGAGTAATCAAGGACTGTAGACATGTTTTAACACAGATTGTTGTGGAGAACACTATCAAGCACAACGTTTCTTTCTGTTTCCACTTTCTTTTCATAAAAGACGCATCTATACACACAAAGAACTCTGAATAGGATTTATGCTCCTCTGGAGGTGACTCAAGCTCACACTAAAAGCAATTCACAATTAATTACATATTGCATCTTATTTTTATGCTTTGTTGCATATTTGTTAGTTTTTAGTTATCTATGGACTTAATAAAGTTACTATTATTGAAATGTTATTTTGAATTTAAACACTTTGAGTCTCATTCCCTAATAATTGTGTATCGCGTCTGGAGGTCTGTGCACTCCACTAGGTTAGCTCTACATGAATGATTTCCAGCCACCAGATGCCTCTAATTCACCTCTTAAAAACATTTTCTCTATTTTAACCTCAAATACTACACTAACTGTAATAGAAATAATAAACATATAAAACATATATTATTTTAAATGGTCATTAACTGATCATAATTATTGCAAAAATAGTATGTAGTACCAAAAATCTCCTCAACATATCAAATAAGTATTACTGATCAAAAATATAATACATAAAAATAATAATTGATAAAATGTTAAACTGAATGTTTTTGGTCACTTTTGATCTCCAAACAATAAGAGTGTGAGCCAATGATGGAATACCTGAGGGTTAAACTCAAGAAAAACATAAGTATTGTCTCTTTATCACTCCCCAGAATAAAATGCAACTCTAAAGTGTAGTCAGCATAATAATCAATTCACACTATGCATTAATATTTACCAGGAATCACTGCAAATACAGTGAATCTGCTGTCTCTCCTGTTTATACCCAGATTGAGACTACTGAGAGCTCCATGAACCATGTGACATCAATGCATTTAAACAGCTCTGATTGCCAACTACTCAGTAGCTTCACACTATACACCATTATTAAATGATTAAGTCATTAATACAATCAACATTTTACTTATTAATAATAACCTTAATTTTATAAAACTGTATTCTTCAAAATAGTGCATATTTCTTCATGTTTTAAACTTATACTTTCATGAATAGGCCGATATAACTGCTTTGTGGCTGCAGTAAACCAATGTCTTTTTAATACAGGAAAAAAAATATATTAAAAATATATTAAATTGTGCTACAAATAGTCTAAAAAACAAAATTTTTATAATAGACTTAAAATTATGAGTTAACTCAAGAGTCAGGCAAACCCACAATTCATTCTTTCTTTATTCACTTTTTCTGTCAGAACAGAGATAAAACTACTAATTATTAAACAAATTCAGAATTTTTTTTTTTTTTTTTACACAAATTTGAGACTAATATTAATTGCATTAAATTTAAGACATTAAAAAGGGATCAGTAATTGTGTTTATTGGCTATTTATCGTAATACACTGGAGTTAAATCTTTGTCCACTAGATGGAACAACTGGATTTTCACTGGAAACTCAATGGCCTTTAGTTCAGGTTAGTTGCAGTATGAAGAATCCGAGATCTGGGGCTGTAATCATAAACATCTTAAATCTTAAAGTTGCTCTTAACCTGCTGGCAGGGGCACAACTGCACATTTGCTGAAGGGTTTGCAAGTTTGCGACTTTAACCTCCTGATTTGTGTGCTTCCTGCATTTTTTATTTATTTTTTAATTCTGCATTCCTGAATTAGACTGTCAGTGTGTTCCTGAGATCTCTTCATTTGTAATCTTCATTTTGTGTGCTGCAGAGGACAAAAATATAAATTGATTGCAATGCATGTTGACAAAGAGAAACATGTGATAATTATTTAATGGAATGTATTTGAATAACAAGATGTGTATTACAACACTACAGCAACTAAAAGAACAAGAAAAATGTGCCAAAATTAAAAAATGAGTGACTCACTGAATTTTGAGTTGGTAGAAACACTGAAACATTGTTTTCTTTTAAAATGAACTACTTGTAAAATGGTTTGTTTTATTTACAATTTAATTTTTTTTAATTTTTTTTTTAGATCAGATAATATTTTAAGCTGTCATCTTTGCCCCATGGGGCATGCTGTCATATTTCCCCTCACCATGCTAAACATGCTACTTATCACATAATGGCTCATACATTTAATCCCCATCCTCATGACTCATGTCTTCATCTGTTCTATACTTTTCTTCAACAATCTGATTTCTGTAGTTATCAATCACAACATAATTAACTTGTGACTAAATCTATAAATCTGTGGCGTGTTTGTAGCCTTTTCCTCATTACTCTTGATTATAATTTAAACCTGGCCTCTTTTAATCGGTTCTAAACAGCAGTCATTGTTAACATCTGAGGACTCACCTTTTGTTAAAACCAAGAAACCCCCAAAATGCAAAAAGCCTGAAACCAAAAAGAGGAAATGACAAAAGCCACATTTATCTGCACATCTACAGCTGCACTTTTTTGTTTAATGTTTAATCCCTCTATTTCTGTTGTTCTATTGTTGCTGTTTTTTCTACTCATCTTCTAGTTTTATCTTTTACTCTGTTTGTGCTTTTCTTTTTAGTATATTGATATATTTTAAAAATATATGTGTAACAGTGATTTGTACATATTGTAAATTCGTCAATCTGTACATTCTAATTTATATCCTTTTCTTTTACTTTATTCCCTTAATTTTACATTTTGTAAAGGAAAAAAATATTTCACTGCATGTCATACCATGTATAGTTATGTATGCGACCATTATGTATTTAAGGTAGAAGTTTGTGAAACTAGACTCACCCATGACTTCAGATCATCCCCTTGTAAAACACAAAACAGCAAAAATGAAAAATACTATATTTTATTTAAAAGCTACTAAAATATTTACAACATTTTTGTTTCAATTGAAGATGTGTTGGAAAAAAATGAGTCGAATATAAAAATAAAAACATACTGTAAGGACTGATGTGATTTCATGTTTTGAACGTAAACGTGTCGGAGCCTGAATGTGAAACATCTTAATGCAAACCCATATCATGTTCTGACTTGTGACTTTGTTGTTTGTCTCCCAGATCTCTCTTTCAGTCTGAGATCATTATCTACAGTTTGAGAGAGAGCATTCCTGTTTGGAAGATCCCAGAACTGAGATTATTGATTCAAGTCCTGAACTGACGCTGTTCAGAAATAAAACACAAGCTTTAAGTACGGCACAATATACACTGTTCACTATTTATAAATAAATAAATACAAATTCTTAACATTACCTTCTTCACCTGTTACTGATAAAACTGTTCTGATGTGATCAATGCGCTGACATTTGTAGGCACAAAATGTTTTTAAAAAGCCCTTTGAATGTGAAAAGAGATGGTAAATAATGACAGAATTTGAATGGCGAATTATTCCTTTTATTTTCTCATCATGTAAATACAGCCCTAGGGGAAATGGCATGTTTGAACAAAAACAAGGTCTAAATCTGAAAACAGCGTGATTTCTTTGCTTCAGTGCTTTACCATATGGGCCTCACTCTAAAACTGAACGCTTTCAATCTCAGTCACAACAGCAGCAGATCTCAAAGCTGCAGTGGATAAAGACCCCTTTCAGCTCATCACAAGGTGATTAAAACACTTTTATCTTTAATTGTTGAGTTTTGTCAATTTAAATCTCACATTTATCTTTATATGATGATGCTGAAATAATACTAAATATAAAAGATACTAAATTCTATCACCATATATTTTTCCAAAGGTATAATGCAAACCCTGAATGTAAGAGAAATTAATGCATGGCAGAAGATCTGTGGAGCATCACAAACTACAGGAGAATTATACATCAGGACAAGAGAAAAAGAGAAAAATGGCAAACAAAGAAGACAAGGGACAATCTAATAAATCAAGAAAGAAAAAGTCCCTGAGATTAATCAGACGGACCAGCATTAATAGCGGCAAACCAAACTGTGAGTATTTATGATGTTTAAGACAAAACACAGTTACACATCTTTCATCATCAATTCGGTTTCATCTTGATTTAAGAATCAATTTATGAATGAGGGTTTATCTTTTTTTAATATCAGGTAAAGATCAGTTGCTTTATCAGATTGACCAACTACGCCTGCTTGTGTTTGTGATTTAATTGTCTAGTTTCTCGTGATTCAGACAGACCAGCAGTGTTTCATTCTGATAATTCAGAGACACATACAGATTAGGTGAGATACTGATCATATGCAGATACCAAATGTAGAAATGATGCTGAAATCTGATATTATATTAAGAGTTATGTGCATTGCATGTTTTTTCTTTAGAAAGCTGCAGTTCCTTTATCTAACCATATTCTTCAACATTTTTAATAACTGAATAAGTGGTGTAGTGTTTCATTTTGTTTGTTTTATTATTATTATTCATAATAAAATAGAGATATAATCATACAAAATTAACAAATATCATGTTTATAGTCAAAAGCCAGAGTTAAGGGCCATTCACACAAAGGATGACAACTATAACAATACTTATATTTGTAAATATACTCTCTATGTCCTGTCTAGAAGCCTGCAGTCAATGAGTGAGCAGACATGATCTCTTCTGGGTCATCACAGAGAGGCACAAAATCACTTTCCAGGACCTTCACATTCACTGTTTCTCACTGGTGGAATGATCTGGACAGCCGAATCCCTGACAGTATTCAGGAAACAACTAAAAACTCATCTTTTTTGTGAGCACTTAAAGCTAGAACTTTTTAAGAATATTTTTTCTAGATTTTTAATTAATTTTATTTTTTTACACTGGCTGAAAGTCTTCACATCCTGCTGGCAAAGTGTTATACAAGTTAAAACTATATATATAGATATAATTTAAGTTTATACTTTAAGTTTAAACACTGTCAGTGTTTTAAATAAGAATGAGGAATTTGATGGAATGTTTGGGTTTCAAACGATACAACAAACTTGCAGAGATTCTTCTCGACAGGTAAGTTAAATTAAAAGTTAAAAGTAAACTGCATACACTCACACCCCAAACTTATCTTACCTAGTTACTTATTAGAAACATACATTTTTCAAAAATAAACATAACTGCTTCAAAATTCATTTTCATTTTTGGTATGGGTGTGTATAATTTACGTTTTAGAGCAAAACATAAAAAAAAAGTCAAGTTATGTTTACCATAGGCTTTATTTTACTCATGAATTGAAAAACCCCACTGGAAAATCTCGATGCAACCAGTGAGGAATTAGTCTTCCAGATTCTGACGTCATACCTGCACCACTCTATGCTGGACCTTTTACTGAAACTAGTCGACTTTAACCTGTTGAGACATGCCTCAATTTCATAGACCCACAAAGGCTGTGTTTGCGATGTCTGAGTTGGGGGAGGTGTAATGCACAAAAGGGGTGTTTGCAAAGGTTGCTTTATTTTTTAGTTCCTCTAGGTAACACTAGCACAGAAACTGCCTAACCTAGCGTTAACTGCATCTGCTGTTGAATTTTAATTGGTGCTTTCATTTGATAAAAAAAATAAATAATAATAATCACACATTTATCTGTAATTATTAGTGATTAATCACATATTAATATACTATATTTACATTGTCATAATTTCACACTAAATCTTCATATTAATGTAGAAACAACATCAAGGCGGCATATTTTAAATGTGTTTAATGGCATCTTTTTACTAAGTAGCCTTTTATTAATGAAGACCAGTATCACTGACACCAAAACTAAAATAATTGTACTTTACTACCAATACTTAAATGCATTTTCCCCTCAATTTTAGCCAATAATTACAGCCATTCATGCTATATAAAGCAGCTTTCTGTGCGCATGCATACTGTAAAAAAAAAAAAAAAAAAAATAA